GGGGGGGGGGCTAGATTTTTGGCTACCCCTGCTATTGCTTCAATGATGAAAAACACCTCGCAGTGAGCCAGACATTGATAGTGAAGTCCGGTGGGCTGAACGAGAAGAAACACTTGGTCCCCCCCGTCCAGCAAGTATGGGTGTTAGAGAGGGATAGGGGGCAATTCTCCCGGAATCTGGGGCCGGAGATCTCTCAGCACGTTGTTGTTTATGAGAAACTTAGGATAACACGATTTAAAAGTGTAAAGGGTTAAGACCCAGGTCAGTGTACCGTTGGGGGATATATTTCCCTTCACTTCCTGTCCCTGTGACACGGCAGGAACAGGAGATCTCTCCAAAACGGAGATGATATCCCCCAATCCAGGTTCACCTAATGGAAAATTTCCTGTTCCTGTGACAACTCCACTTTTTGGATTTCCCCAAATCTTCTAAACCGGAGACAGCGGTGACCAGGACCAACAGTGAGGGTGAATCTCTGTACCATCAACTTCACATTTACCAAAACTATGGAATACGAGCCACGGCCCGATCTATCCAATCAGTCTGCATCCAACCAGGCGGGCCCTTGCACTGCATAGTTGTTGGTAGATCTAAAAGGATAAGGTCCAATCAGATTGGAACGTGTGCGGTGACCCAGCCAGGGGTTCTGACCCGTCTGTATTCTATCCGCAGGACAACGTCAAGTCTGGGCTGTCCATACACAAAGAAATGGACGTCACATTCACACGAACAGGCGGACAAGGAATCCCCGGCCACATTCACCCTTGTGTGTGAACAGCTGGATTTGTGCCCTGTGATCGGCTCGTACAATCGTTTACTATCAAGGCTCGGATTGGCCGATTCCGGTAAACCTTGAATCTGGATGCCGCACTCTGTGCAGTGGACGCATCCGCAAAAGGGCAGGTCAGCAGGAGAGAGACCCTGAATCAGGGGAAGCAAACTATGGGACTACGAATCCTATCATGCACTGAAAGACTGAGAGCCACAAGTAGGATGGGATTTGTAGTTTCACCACAACTGGTGTGCTGAGGTACCCTGTCACTGATCTAGACACAGACAGGAGGTCCATACGCACAGACAGACAGACACAACTAATATCTGGCATAGTAAACACATGTAATAAAGCACATGATGTTTTCCAGCCTACAATCCTCAGATCCCCGTTCCCCCCTCCTCAGCATGTGAGATACAAGAAGACTTCCCTGGAACCAGATCTGGTTCAGAGCCACAAATCCCAGACCGATAAGAAGAGTGCGAGCGAGAGATAAAAAGAGTCACAATCCACCCAGAACGTCCAATCTGCAGGACACAGAGCATGGCAGAATGAACACACACACACACACACACACACGTTCTACAACGACCCGCGCCTTAAACCACATCCGCGTTAAGACTACAAGTCCCATCGGCCACCGCACCAGAGGGACCTGTAGTACTCCACTGAGAACAAGTGTGGTGACGTCACTGTACTTGTGGTCCATTCATTCTCCCTCTCGTCCATGTTACTGAAAGTCACAACCTCGGTATGGATGGAGACTGGGAGGAAGAGTCTGCAGGAGCCAGAGCATTGCACCCGCCATCATGGTTCATGATCATGGTTGCCATGCTTTACTGGCTTCAATGCAAACAAAATAAAATAATAATAAATGATGAACGCACATTTTTTTTTCTAAAAGGTGGACTTTACCTTTAACATCATCATCATCATTATTATTCGAGATTTATAAATTATAAACAAGTGTATGTATATAAATTTGTATAATATATACATACAAAAAAAATTTACATTATTATAAAAGTGTGTATGTGTATATAAATTTTTATTTATTAAAAAGTGTGCGTATATGTCATATTATTTTAAAATGTTTGTGTGTGTATATCATTTTTATTACTATTAAATAGAAAAAATTGTGTGTGTAAAATATTTATATTATGTATTTTTGTATTATTAAAAAAAATGTGTGTGTGTGTGTGTTAAATATACACACACTTTTATAATATTATTATTATACAGGATTTATATCATCTACAGGTTTGTGCGGCTCTTCCCAGTATCATGCTACAGAGTACAGTTACAATAGAACTCAGTGTAAGAGAGCGAGGAGGGTCTTGCCGCTAGGAGCTTACACTCTAAGAGACGGATCACAGGGAAACCCGACCACGGAAAACTTTTTGTTCTAAAACGGAGACAAATAAGTGAAATAACTGATCCACCACAAAGCAGAAGTCGCCCTCCCCCGGGAGATGTAGAGCTGTGCGGACCCCTCACTGCATCTGAGATATGAAGAAGGATTACAGAGTGTGAAGAAGGTGTAATGACCTCGGCAGCCAATCAGATCCCAGCTGTCACTTTCAAACCCGTCCTATCGGTATGTCAGGAGGATGTGACTGAATATGTAAACAAACTTCAACTTCACCCAGACACACATCAACAGGTACCCGGAGCCAGGGCGCCAACGCTCCTTAGCAATGACAGCCGGCGCCTAACGTTACAGGTTTCCTCTTGCTGTCAATGGAGCTGGATCCTGAAAAATCCTGCCGGCTCCTGGATTGGACAGACTGGCCCCTGAATCCTATCCTAATCCGTCGGCCCCTAACTTATTAAACCTCCAGAACTCCTATAAAAATCAGAGACCCGGATATGATGATTAGAGGACAACGCGACAGAGAGCCCTGACAACGCACATCGCAGGTTTCCTCAGTACGGAGGATCTGCTCCGGCAAGCCAGCACATAAACCTCTAGTGACACCAACTGACCGACTTCATAACAATCCACAAAGCTGGCCGGGAAATCACAGAGCTGGGATCTCATTCTACAGTCACAACCACCCAAAAACATTCCAATATTAAAACAAAATATATATATAAAAAAGAAAAAATACAATTTTGATCTAATAATGTAACAAAAAAAAGAACCAGATATAAGACAACAAAACGGCCAAAACACAAAACAATTGGCGCGTACGGTACGGAAATCTTCCAGAAAGTTTAGTTTTTTTTCCTTTTGGCTCCATCTAACAATCTAGACAGAAAAAGAATTTGGAATTACAGCACTGCAAGGGTTAACTGCCCATTTCTGTCTTGAGGGGGGGGGGGACTTTAAAACAGGTTTGCTTACCTGATCCCCAAGACCAGTGCCCGTAGCCACCCCCCCACTACGCTTCAGTGGTTGGAGGCCCGCTGAAATCATTGCGTATACTGCCGGGCCCATGGCCCCACATTAGACATGTGGACGCCAAGGGACAGTCCAAAGCCAGAGAAGAGGGAAGCGCCGATCAGGTAAATAAAACGGCTTTAAAGAAAGCCCCTAGACCAGGGGTAGGCAAGCCCAGACTGATGTGGAACTACAAGTTCCATGAGGCATTGCAAGATTTGTAGTTAAAGCACTGCTGGAGGGCCGGCATAGCCCACCCCTGCCCTAGACATTAACGAGAAGTTAACTCAGGGCTGGACATATCCCGGGAGCCAGGTCGCCGAGGCTCCTTCTAAGAAATAACTGGCGCCTAACTTAAGGTGAACCCCGGGCATATTAAACATTAACCCTTGCAGTGGGGCAACCCCTGGCACAGCAAGGGTTAAGTGCTCATTTTGGCCTAGGGTGTAAAGTTAAAAATATATACTCACCCGATATTCGGTGGCCGTCATGTGATGACATTGCGGGTCCTTAGACCGGTGTAACCCAGAGAAGCTGTGGGGATGGATCTAGCAGCCAGGCGGGTGCGTGGATCAGGTGAGTATATCTTATTTTACACCCTAGACGAAAACTAGCGGTTAACCCTTGCAGTGCATGAGGTGCAAGGGTTAATGTTAATATGCTCAGAATTCATCTCTAGATTGTTGTCAAATGGAGCCGGCTGCTGCATTGGGGGACCAAGCCGGCTGCTGCATTGGGGGACCAAGCCGGCTGCTGCATTGGGGGACCAAGCCGGCTGCTGCATTGGGGACCAAGCCGGCTCCCGCATTCCGTATTAATTTGTCCGCCCCTGAGTTAACCCTTGCAGTGCCAGGGATGGCCCCACTACAAGTGTTAATGTTTAATATGCCTGGACTTGTTCTTAAACCTAGTTGTTGTCAATGGAGCGGGCTCCTGGATAGGACAGGACAGGCCACCCTCCTGCCTTCCGTATTAATTTGGCCACCCCCGAGTTAACCCTTGCAGTGCCAGGGGTAGCCCCACTGCAAGGGAACTTTAAAATAAATGATCGTGCTTAGATTCTGGAGCTTCTGGAGCCGTTTGCTTCTCAGAAACGGCCAGATCTCAGACTTTGATCCAAAAAGGTGAGCTGGGGAAAGCTAGTTGCAGGTTCCAGTGACATGAATGGGTTAAGTGTAAAAGGATCAATAAAACGGAGTGCAAGCCTTGAAGCGTGACATAGGAGTTAGGCCGACGCGGGATCCTTCGTATACTAAACAGACATGAAGGTGCGTAGGTGAGCCGGGGGCCACGCTGAGTGACTCGGATGAGAACTGTTCACACTACAGTATTTGCTGAAGACAAATATATTACATCAGGGGTAAACAGCCTCGGCACTCCAGCCGTTGTGGAACTACAAGTACCATGGGGCATTGCAAGACTGACAGCCACAAGCATGACTACCAAAGGCATGATGGGATTTGTAGTTAAAGCACAGCTAGAGTGCCGAGGTTGCCTACCCCTGTATTACACAATGCTCCCTAGTCTCACGCTGTCAAAACACTGCCCCATGTGACACTCGTGTAAAGTTACAGAGCGGGGATTGGCTTTTACACCGCAGGATGACAATGACAGTCACATGTAGTATAAACACGCAGCACTCCTCACCCCATTCATAAACCTGACCCATAGATGATGTCGTTCCTTACCTGGGGGAAGCTGAAAGTTTTGGATGTTTGGTTGGTTCTGAGGTGGTGGCACGCGCGGCGCTAACATGGGTGGCGTTATGGTCGCCCTGATGCCGCCAAGCGGTGCTGTAGGAGTCCTTGGCAAGCTTGGAGGCACAATGCTGACTGTAGGTTTGCCCATTGCCGTTGGGGTGCCGGGCCCAGGAGCTGCCCCCCCAGGGCCTGGATGTCCCACTTGCATAGTCTGTCCAATAACCATATTCCCGTGGGCCGGCTGGCTCTGCTGAGGAGTCTGAATGATAGTTTTCGGGGGCTCGGATTTGATCACCTGGCTGGGCACCGGGCTGGGCTGGCTGTTCATTTGCAAGGGTACCCCACCGGGAGCTGGCAAAGGGGAATTGATCACAGTATTGCTTCCGTTCTGGGTGGCTGGCACTCCCTGATGCACAAGAGGTCTCACCAGCGCTACAGTAGTGGGTACACCTGCCATGCCTGTGGGCTGTCCAGCTGCCCCCGCGGTCGATGCAGATGACGAGATGACAGAGGTCGACACGTTCGTGGTCGCAAGGTAAGAAGTCTGGATCACCGTATTGGCGGCTGCGTTGACGCCACCCTTAGTGACAGGAACGGGGCCATTGTTCACGATATTAACTCCGGGTGCCGGGTTGCTGTTCCCCTGAAACGGAGCTCCGTGCCCCCCGGGGACGTGAGAATTGATAATGACGTTATTCCCGTTCATGGCCTGAAGGGCCGCAGGTTTGCCATTGCCCGAGCCGTGGTTGGGCAAAGCAGTTACAATGTTGCCAAGGACCCCGGCTTTGGCCTGACTGAGGACTCCTCCTGCCTCTGATCCAGCAGACTGAACGCCATCCACCTGAGCTGCAGTTTGCGGTCGGGTATTGTTAATAACGCCTCCTTGGACTCCAGGTACGGCTGCTCCTAGGGAACAAAGCAATGGTGTGAAATAAACAAGTACCACGTTTCATTAATACAACACCAACATTAGAATATACAAAGTTACAGCACAGGTACAGCAACCGTGCCACTGAGATCACATAGACATAGTATGCTGACACACACGTGTGTGTGTGTGTGTGTGTGTGTGTGTGTGTGTGTGTGTGTAACAGCTGGAGTGCCGAGGTTGCCTATCACTGCTCTGCGGCCAATGCCAGCTGGACCTCAGGAAACATACCGAGGCATGATCGCCGCCCAAGGTGCCTCAGATTAACCTATACATCTCCTATGAGCAAGACAAGCGGGCTCACCCCATAAGACAGCATAAGGGTAACTATGACAACGTGCAGAAAGCAGCACCAGTTGTCGGTACGGTTCATGGACAGTCAGTGGTGGCTTACCACGCTATGGTTTGCTTTCTGCATGTCTTTATCACTCTCTGCAATGCTTTGCTTATCAGGGAGTTTAATGTTAGGTCTGTCAGGTATTTGGTTGCGTGTCCTGCCACCCTGGAGATAACCCAACAAGGACTCTCATCTCAGTATAAGTTCTATACTCGTTACTGGGGACACTTCATCCTCTGCAGGTTTCCTGGAGAACCAGGACAGTTGGCAAGTATGCCAGAACAGCTCTGGTATCCCCAACATTTCCAGGTCACCCCCTGCCATACATGCCCAAGATGACTCACTGCGGGTTCACCAATGAGATCCCAACTACCCAAAACATACAATGGACTCATCTATGACCCCCCAACCTACAGCCTTATGATGGGAATATAGCTGGCATCCCAGGAAGAGATCACAGCTGCAACCTAAAAATGATATCTGGCATGGCCTCTTCCATCCCCTGCGTAACCCCGGCACCCTTAGACCTGCCTGGGCAATCCACTACTTGTGTCAGGTATGCCTAGACGCCACAAGCTTACCAGATGACCTCCAGCATCTGAGAAGACAGCACCGGCTCCTTGCTGGGGGTGAGTTAAGCAGCTTATAGTAGGGGTGCACCGGCTGGCAAACGTATGTGACCCTACGGGCACAGTTGACACATTGGCACTGCCAGGACACCCCCAACCCGACAAATGTAGTAAAATAACCCCCGGGGTCACCAATCAGATGCAAACACACAGAATACTCATTTCTGACCCCAACCTGCATGCTTATGATTGGCATGTGGCACCCCAAGAAAAGATGACAGAGGAGTGACAGCTGCTACTTTCCAACTGCAACCCCTACGATCAAAAGACGCAAGTTGACACGGCCCCCCATCATCCCTCCAGGTAGCCCTGGCACACAAAGAACTGCCTGAGCACCCTGCTACTTGTGCCAAGTATGCCTGGGCACCCCAAGCTTACCAGATGCCCTCCAGCATCCAACCAGACCAAATTAAGCAGCATATTATTGGGGTACAGCGACAGGCACACTCCTGTCACCCTCTGGGCAAAGCTGGCACCCCCATGCCCACCGACATGACTCAAAACCAACCCGGGGGCCACGAATCAGATCCCAGCACAGAACCGACTCATCTTTGACCCCAGTGTACAGGCTTACACCCAGAAAGTAGTAGGTGGCACCCCCGGGGAGACGACAGCGGGGGTGACAGCTGCTGCTTTCCAAGCGCAAGCTCAGCGAGCAAAGGATAGAAGGCGGCATGGCCCCTGTCACCCCGGTGGGCAACCATGGAGCCCTTAGATCAGCCAGGGCACCCTGCCACCTGCGCCCAGAGAGCACAGTCACCCCAAGTTGACCTGGCACCCTCCAGTATGCGACGGGACATGGCAAGCTCCTCACCGGCACCAGTTTAGCAGCTCACTGGTGGGATGAGGCAACTGGCACACTCCTGTCACCCTCAGGGCACAGCTGGCACCCTGGCACTGCCAGGACACCCCCTACACCTGCCCCAGCCCCCATCTGCACGGCTCACCGGTCTTAGGGAGGTCCTGGGGGAGTCCGATCTTGGCTTCTGGCTGGCCCCCGGCGGCGGCAGTGGCCCCTACCCCAGCAGGGCTGGCAACATGGTTGGCTAGGGCCTGGCTGCGGATCTCGGGGGGCGCCGGGTGCGGCTGTGGCTGCTGCGGCGGGTGGTGGTGGTGATGGTGGTGGTGGGCCGCGGCTGCCAACTCGGACTCCAGGGAGCCCACCAGATCGCTGACCACTTTCTCGTCCACGTCCGTGTTGAAGAAATCATCCAGCAGATCCGAACCCGCCGCCATCTTTACTCCGCCGCTCAAACTCAAGAGGGCAGCGGCTGACTGAGCCTGCGCGGCTGGCCGCCCACGTCACGCCGAGCGAGCTCTCCCATTGGCCGGCAGCACCCTATATAAGTTGCGGGCAAATGGCTGCGAGCGGGATTTGGTGGTGCGGAGGGTTGAGGAGAGGAGAGGAGGGACTGGAGGCGGGGAAGGGGCAGGGCGCGGGACACCCGGAGGGGGGCGGGGCCAAAAAGACACTGGAGGTGTACGAGGCTCATTTCCGGGTGTGCCCGGTGAGCGGGCACCGCATCGTTCCGCCACACACTAGTGTACGTGTGCCCACTGCACTGTCGCACAGGCTCGGTGCCCACTGCACTGTCACACAGGCTCGGTGCCCACTGAGCACCATGCACCCTGCTGGGCACCAAGCTCACCCATTGCACTCTGTATGACCTGCTGGGCACTGTACCTACCTGAGCACCCCCTGCTGGGCACTCTACCCACCAAGCCCCCTACACCCTAGTGGATGCTAGACTCACCTGGGCACATTACCCACTGAGCCCTCTGCACCCACTCAGGTGCTGGACACACTCACCTGGGTACCCCCCTGCTGGGCACTGAATCCATCTAGACCCCCCCCCCACAGCCAATAGGGGGAAGCTATCAAAACTGAAAATGAAAGCTAAAAGCTGATTGGTTGCCATGGGCAACTGCTTCAGAATCATGTCTGCTCCACTTTTTATGGATTCCCCCCATTGAGTGGAATTGATCAACTCTGGAGCAGTTGCCCCTGGTAACCAATCAGCTTTCCATTTGGAAAATGGAAAGAGAGGAGCTAATTGGTTCGCGGGGGCACCTGCTGCAGTTTTGTTCTGCGTTTTCTACTCCCTGCCATTGACTGTAATGTAATACAGTGAAAATGAGGCATTCCCCACAATGCACTGCTCTCTAAGGCAGGGGGTGGGCAGCTCTTAACTACAAATCCCAGCATGTCTCTGCCTCGGGGGTCATGCCTGTGGCTTAGACTTGCAGTGCCTCATGGGAGTTGTAGTTCCTCATCAGCTGGATGTAACTTCCTATAACTGATCAATTCTCATGTCCAGAGGTATAAGTGGCAGAAAAATCGCAGGGGGTTACTGAGGTCGGTGAACGCGGCTCAGCGCCAGTCTTGGCGAGCACGCCGATCGGCGAATGTGTCCGTGTGGACTCCCTTCCTGAGAAAAGAAATGGAAACATTGTTTACAATACAACACGGATCTGATACATTAAAGAACGCGACCCTGACATCCCCGTGTCATGTGATCAATTCAGAGAATTTCCAGCATCTGTCCCCTTCCCTAGTATCCCGAATCTGGAGTCTCACTTCTAGTGCTGAAATGGAGGTTATGTAAGGGGACCCCCATAGCTAATAAAGATGTCCATACTAAACTACTTCCTGTTCAATGAAAAGAAAACTTAAAGGGGGAGTAGCTTCACCGTGCTCCAGTATTAGTGTTCCAGTCCCTGTTACTGAGGGGGGCGGCGTCACCGTGCTCCAGTATTAGTGTCCCAGCCCCTGTTACTGAGGGGAGCGGCGACACCGTGCTCCAGTATTAGTGTCCCAGCCCCTGTTACTGAGGGGAGCGGCGACACCGTGCTCCAGTATTAGTGTCCCAGCCCCTGTTACTGAGGGGAGCGGCGACACCGTGCTCCAGTATTAGTGTCCCAGCCCCTGTTACTGAGGGGAGCGGCGACACCGTGCTCCAGTATTAGTGTCCCAGCCCCTGTTACTGAGGGGAGCGGCGACACCGTGCTCCAGTATTAGTGTCCCAGCCCCTGTTACTGAGGGGAGCGGCGACACCGTGCTCCAGTATTAGTGTCCCAGCCCCTGTTACTGAGGGGAGCGGCGACACCGTGCTCCAGTATTAGTGTCCCAGCCCCTGTTACTGAGGGGAGCGGCGACACCGTGCTCCAGTATTAGTGTCCCAGCCCCTGTTACTGAGGGGAGCGGCGACACCGTGCTCCAGTATTAGTGTCCCAGCCCCTGTTACTGAGGGGAGCGGCGACACCGTGCTCCAGTATTAGTGTCCCAGCCCCTGTTACTGAGGGGAGCGGCGACACCGTGCTCCAGTATTAGTGTCCCAGCCCCTGTTACTGAGGGGAGCGGCGACACCGTGCTCCAGTATTAGTGTCCCAGCCCCTGTTACTGAGGGGAGCGGCGACACCGTGCTCCAGTATTAGTGTCCCAGCCCCTGTTACTGAGGGGAGCGGCGACACCGTGCTCCAGTATTAGTGTCCCAGCCCCTGTTACTGAGGGGAGCGGCGACACCGTGCTCCAGTATTAGTGTCCCAGCCCCTGTTACTGAGGGGAGCGGCGACACCGTGCTCCAGTATTAGTGTCCCAGCCCCTGTTACTGAGGGGAGCGGCGACACCGTGCTCCAGTATTAGTGTCCCAGCCCCTGTTACTGAGGGGAGCGGCGACACCGTGCTCCAGTATTAGTGTCCCAGCCCCTGTTACTGAGGGGAGCGGCGACACCGTGCTCCAGTATTAGTGTCCCAGCCCCTGTTACTGAGGGGAGCGGCGACACCGTGCTCCAGTATTAGTGTCCCAGCCCCTGTTACTGAGGGGAGCGGCGACACCGTGCTCCAGTATTAGTGTCCCAGCCCCTGTTACTGAGGGGAGCGGCGACACCGTGCTCCAGTATTAGTGTCCCAGCCCCTGTTACTGAGGGGAGCGGCGACACCGTGCTCCAGTATTAGTGTCCCAGCCCCTGTTACTGAGGGGAGCGGCGACACCGTGCTCCAGTATTAGTGTCCCAGCCCCTGTTACTGAGGGGAGCGGCGACACCGTGCTCCAGTATTAGTGTCCCAGCCCCTGTTACTGAGGGGAGCGGCGACACCGTGCTCCAGTATTAGTGTCCCAGCCCCTGTTACTGAGGGGAGCGGCGACACCGTGCTCCAGTATTAGTGTCCCAGCCCCTGTTACTGAGGGGAGCGGCGACACCGTGCTCCAGTATTAGTGTCCCAGCCCCTGTTACTGAGGGGAGCGGCGACACCGTGCTCCAGTATTAGTGTCCCAGCCCCTGTTACTGAGGGGAGCGGCGACACCGTGCTCCAGTATTAGTGTCCCAGCCCCTGTTACTGAGGGGAGCGGCGACACCGTGCTCCAGTATTAGTGTCCCAGCCCCTGTTACTGAGGGGAGCGGCGACACCGTGCTCCAGTATTAGTGTCCCAGCCCCTGTTACTGAGGGGAGCGGCGACACCGTGCTCCAGTATTAGTGTCCCAGCCCCTGTTACTGAGGGGAGCGGCGACACCGTGCTCCAGTATTAGTGTCCCAGCCCCTGTTACTGAGGGGAGCGGCGACACCGTGCTCCAGTATTAGTGTCCCAGCCCCTGTTACTGAGGGGAGCGGCGACACCGTGCTCCAGTATTAGTGTCCCAGCCCCTGTTACTGAGGGGAGCGGCGACACCGTGCTCCAGTATTAGTGTCCCAGCCCCTGTTACTGAGGGGAGCGGCGACACCGTGCTCCAGTATTAGTGTCCCAGCCCCTGTTACTGAGGGGAGCGGCGACACCGTGCTCCAGTATTAGTGTCCCAGCCCCTGTTACTGAGGGGAGCGGCGACACCGTGCTCCAGTATTAGTGTCCCAGCCCCTGTTACTGAGGGGAGCGGCGACACCGTGCTCCAGTATTAGTGTCCCAGCCCCTGTTACTGAGGGGAGCGGCGACACCGTGCTCCAGTATTAGTGTCCCAGCCCCTGTTACTGAGGGGAGCGGCGACACCGTGCTCCAGTATTAGTGTCCCAGCCCCTGTTACTGAGGGGAGCGGCGACACCGTGCTCCAGTATTAGTGTCCCAGCCCCTGTTACTGAGGGGAGCGGCGACACCGTGCTCCAGTATTAGTGTCCCAGCCCCTGTTACTGAGGGGAGCGGCGACACCGTGCTCCAGTATTAGTGTCCCAGCCCCTGTTACTGAGGGGAGCGGCGACACCGTGCTCCAGTATTAGTGTCCCAGCCCCTGTTACTGAGGGGAGCGGCGACACCGTGCTCCAGTATTAGTGTCCCAGCCCCTGTTACTGAGGGGAGCGGCGACACCGTGCTCCAGTATTAGTGTCCCAGCCCCTGTTACTGAGGGGAGCGGCGACACCGTGCTCCAGTATTAGTGTCCCAGCCCCTGTTACTGAGGGGAGCGGCGACACCGTGCTCCAGTATTAGTGTCCCAGCCCCTGTTACTGAGGGGAGCGGCGACACCGTGCTCCAGTATTAGTGTCCCAGCCCCTGTTACTGAGGGGAGCGGCGACACCGTGCTCCAGTATTAGTGTCCCAGCCCCTGTTACTGAGGGGAGCGGCGACACCGTGCTCCAGTATTAGTGTCCCAGCCCCTGTTACTGAGGGGAGCGGCGACACCGTGCTCCAGTATTAGTGTCCCAGCCCCTGTTACTGAGGGGAGCGGCGACACCGTGCTCCAGTATTAGTGTCCCAGCCCCTGTTACTGAGGGGAGCGGCGACACCGTGCTCCAGTATTAGTGTCCCAGCCCCTGTTACTGAGGGGAGCGGCGACACCGTGCTCCAGTATTAGTGTCCCAGCCCCTGTTACTGAGGGGAGCGGCGACACCGTGCTCCAGTATTAGTGTCCCAGCCCCTGTTACTGAGGGGAGCGGCGACACCGTGCTCCAGTATTAGTGTCCCAGCCCCTGTTACTGAGGGGAGCGGCGACACCGTGCTCCAGTATTAGTGTCCCAGCCCCTGTTACTGAGGGGAGCGGCGACACCGTGCTCCAGTATTAGTGTCCCAGCCCCTGTTACTGAGGGGAGCGGCGACACCGTGCTCCAGTATTAGTGTCCCAGCCCCTGTTACTGAGGGGAGCGGCGACACCGTGCTCCAGTATTAGTGTCCCAGCCCCTGTTACTGAGGGGAGCGGCGACACCGTGCTCCAGTATTAGTGTCCCAGCCCCTGTTACTGAGGGGAGCGGCGACACCGTGCTCCAGTATTAGTGTCCCAGCCCCTGTTACTGAGGGGAGCGGCGACACCGTGCTCCAGTATTAGTGTCCCAGCCCCTGTTACTGAGGGGAGCGGCGACACCGTGCTCCAGTATTAGTGTCCCAGCCCCTGTTACTGAGGGGAGCGGCGACACCGTGCTCCAGTATTAGTGTCCCAGCCCCTGTTACTGAGGGGAGCGGCGACACCGTGCTCCAGTATTAGTGTCCCAGCCCCTGTTACTGAGGGGAGCGGCGACACCGTGCTCCAGTATTAGTGTCCCAGCCCCTGTTACTGAGGGGAGCGGCGACACCGTGCTCCAGTATTAGTGTCCCAGCCCCTGTTACTGAGGGGAGCGGCGTCACTGTGCTCCAGTATTAGTGTTCCAGTCCATGGAAGTCGGGGACCAGTTTTGGAAGGTGCGGGCTCAGGTACAGGCATCTTTATATTACGTATCAGTAGTAGACGGGGGGACCCATCACTTAAAGGACAACTCTGGGCATTTTCTTTTCAAATGAACCCTTGCACTGTGGCTACCTCCGCACAGCAAGGCTTCAGTGCTCATTTTGGTCTAGGGGACAGAAGATACTCGCCCCATACTGGGCCCTGTGGCAGTGACTGCTCACTCCCTCTCCACTCCGGGTGTGGTATGTCCCTTGATGGGCCGCCGTAATATCCTGGTGTTCCTCTTTAAGGATATCCTCACCCAGGGGTTTGATGGGACTCAGCAGAGTTATTCTTACATCAAGTGCTGCCCAGGTCATGGTGACTACAGCGCCTGCTGCTGGTGGAACATGTGAAGGACACGTTTGTTCCTCTGTAAGGCTGGCTGTACACTGGGGGCCAGCTCACACCGAATGTGGTGCGTTCCAGAGCGGTAGCTGCTGGAACGCACCGCAATCACTCACAAAACCTCCCCTTGCATTCTGAGGCGGGAGGGGGGCGTGGCAGTGCACCGCTGCCACGCCCCCCGCCTGCAGTGCGATCAGACGTATGGCAAAACTTTGCGTTCCGTTCCACGGCAAATGCAAAAAATAGAGCAAGCAGCACTTTTTTGTGTTAGCGGTGGAACGCAGGCAAAGTTTTGCCACACGTCCGATCGCACTTCGGGCGGGGAGGGGGGCGTGGAAGCGGTGCCATTGAATCCAATGCACCGCCATGCCCCATCCCACACCAGAACGCAGGGCGGACAACCTGTGCTGAAACTACAAATCCCATGATGCATCTGCCTTTGGAGTCACGCCTGTGGCTGTCAGAGTCTTGCAGTGCCTCATGGGACTTGTAGTTCCACCACAGCTGGCGTGCCGAAGTTGCCTACCACTGCATTAGAGCATGACACTATTGCTAACACACCACATGGGCATGCCATCCTATATGTAACATATCACTGGCTATGAGAATGGTTATCTGATGGCTCGGAGCAATGATGACTAGCCGCACTCTGTTTGTGACATTGGCGCAGTCGTGTGGTTACTTACAGCTGTGTAGGGACTACATACCGCCATTTTGGCTGACCCTCCAGCTTACATTACCGTGATGCTCTATTAAAATACATGTTTCGTTTAAAGTAATCCTGCTCAGCTAGTCTTGTGATCCAGACAATGCAGCCAGATCACTGACCGCCCAGCGCTTGGGAAAGAACTTAACTCCGCCTGTTGATTGGACGATGAAGGAGCAGCAGCGCACTAGTGAAGCCAACCCTCTCTGTTCAGTGCTGGACGGACAGCACTGTGCAAAGCAATGCCGCCCCTCCCTTTCCCAATCTGATGGTGCTGACATAAAGACAGGGACTGGGCTGTATATCGTGTGACATTTCTAAGGGATTCCTGGACCTTATTTGGGCACGTGGCCATATAAGGTCAATGATGTCACCAGCGTCCCACCCCTTTGTTTACATTCAACTGCGGGGAAGGGAGATGCCCAGGCTTCAGCTGATTGGGCTGGCATTGACAGCTTCTTTCCCGGTTCTGGCAAGCTCAAGTTGGGGCCCAACCCGAGCTTATCCCTAGTCAGAACCTGTGTCAGTTTTTATGTCACATTTGGGAGAGTTCCTCTCACTTCCTCTGTGGTCACCAGGACAGGAAGTGAGGGTAGCCTGTCCAATGGGAACAGAGATTTTTTTTTTTTTTGTATAACAGCTGTCCTGCTAAGGGTACCCCCCTTGAATAGAAAGCAAGGGGACAAATCACCCCAGAGGGGCCACATACAGCAAGGTGAGGCCGATGGACGTTCTAACTTTCCAAATTTGTATTGGAAAAGAAATAAAATGTTTGGCCGAAGCATGGCCTGTGATCAATCAGTTCTGTATATAAAAAAAAAAACAACGTTTCTAAGAATTAAATGGGTTGGTGAGACCAAAAAATATAATAAAATATGAATAAAGTCACGTGATGTTATTGGTGACAGGTCCTCTTTAAGCCCCGGGTCACCTGTGAACTGAACTGTCTCATCACACTGGCAGACATCGGCCAGTCCCACCTACAACATGGCTGCCGCCGCCTCCCCCCCCACACACATGTCGTCACCTGGAGCAGCTGTGCCTCGCGTCACTAGTTGCCGAGGCTCGCCTAGCCTGCCCGCGACAGCCAATCAACGCCCTTAACGTCACCTGCCCGGAGATACCCGCACAGAAGACTGCGCAGTAAAGAAACGAGAGGGCGCCCCGCCCCGCTGGCGTGTTAGTGGGCGGGTCCGTTGGAACGGTTTAAAAAGGGAGGTGATGGGCGGCGCCTCGCAGTCCGGGGGGGTTCCTCAGGTGGGAAGGTGTATAGTAGGAGGACTCACTGTCAAAGCTGCAGCATGAGCTCGGGAACGCCGTACATCGGGAGCAAGATCAGCCTGATCTCCAAGGCGCAGATCCGCTATGAGGGCATCCTGTACACCATTGACACCGAGAACTCCACTGTGGCCCTAGCCAAAGGTGAAGCCGGGGGCTCCGGGCCTGGGAGAAAGGGGGTGCACCATTTGTGTATGTGCGTCACTGCCATTCACCAGCTTGTGCCCGGAGGGGTGCGTGTTTCCCTGCAGAGGGCTGACGTCATTCGGGGCACGATTCTGGTGCCCGCTAGAGGGCTGGGGCAGCCCTGTCACCCCAGGGGAACACCGGCGGGCGTCCATGACGTCCTATTAGGCTTTACCAGTGTGATGACATTCTCCATCTAGAGAACTACCGGTCGCAGCTTGTCCTGGGGTACTGGTTAGATATGCATGGTCTTGGGGTGGGTGGCCTTGAGAATTAGAGGGTTTTATGGTGTTCCTGTGTTTGGCCATTTTACTGATGAGGTTTCGACTGCTAGGCTGCTATTCATGGCTACCCAGATGTGATTAAATCAAGGGATGGAGCTCCCCAAAACATTGCCTGCTGGGTGGGATGGAATGCCTGCAGGGTGGTGGGATGGAGCTCCCCAAAGCATTGTCTGCTGGGTGGGATGGAATGCCTGCCGGGTGGTGGGATGGAGCTCCCCAAAGCATTGCCTGCTGGGTGGGATGGAATGCCTGCCGGGTGGTGGGATGGAGCTCCCCAAAGCATTGCCTGCTGGGTGGGATGGAATGCCTGCCGGGTGGTGGGATGGAGATCCCAAAAGCATTGCCTGCCAGGAGGGTGGGGATGGAGCTCCCAAAAACCATTGCCTCCTGGTTGGGATGGACCTCCCAAAAGCATTGCCTGCTGGGTAATAGAGCTCCAAAAAACACTACATGCTAGGTGGAGGTGGAGTTTCTAAAATACTACATGTGGGAGGGTGGAGCTCCCAAAAACCCTCCTTACTAGGTGGGAGGATGGAGCTCCCAAAATATTACCTGTGGGGTGGATTTCCCAATAAATGTTACCTGATGGATGGACCTCATACAAATGCTACCTGACCCCAAAACACTCAGCTGTTTCGGATGTAGCTCTCATAAACTCTGTATGGGATGGGATCCCCCAAAACACTACCTGTTGGATGGCAACCCCAAAAATGCTACCTGCTATGTAGGTTGAAGCTCCCAAAAACCCTACCTGCTGAGTGAGGTGCAGCTACAAAAACCCTACCAGCTGAGTGAAGTGCAGCTACAAAAACCCTACCTGCTGAGTGAGGTGCAGCTACCAAAACCCTACCTGCTGGGTGAGGAAGAGCTGCCAAAAGCATTACCTGCTGGGTGGGATGGAGCTCAATGGCACCACCTGCTTGGTGGAGGCCGCTGAGCCCTGGCCAAGCTATGGGAGCCCTTGAGGTCATCTGCAGGATGCCAGGTATGCATCTAGATGTCTGTTAGATGGAGATGAACCTTGAGCCTTTCTCCTCAGGATGGGTAGCCATTACAGCCATCTTGTTTATAGCTTCAGCCATCTAGCAACCACTTAAGATTTGATGTCCAAACCTGGATTGGTCACTGGGTGCCTTTTTTAATTAGGGATGTGTTGGGTGCTTAAGGGCCTCTCATTGGCTTTTGTTGGTTTAAAAAACATTTTTTTTAAATCTCTCTATTGGAATGCAAAACCAGCTTATGGAGGTCAGGAGGAGGTCAGATGCACATGTCAATGAATTTGGAATCTTCTCTGAAGCATCTCAGACTGAAGCCATCAACTTAAGCCTATTAACACAGGACCTTCATTGGGGCAATGGGTGCCTGAAAGTGGGAAACCTAGTACGTTATTTAGGGTGTATGTTAGAGGGTATGAGGTCCTCAGTGCCCCTGGCTTTTCTTTGCAGAGTGAATTGCTAGAAGTGGGTAACCTCTTTAATGTTTATACCATCTCTTTATACTATGGGGGACTGGTGCTGATGGGTCGCTTTATAGCCTGATTATGCACTAAGGGCCAATGACCATCTTGACTGGTGGCAGAGAAGAGTCCAATCGACTGGGACCTTATGCACTTAACACAAAGTCTTTAGGGTTTCTGAATGACCTTGTCAGGCTACAGTCATCATGCAGGAGTTAGACATTGGTTAACTTGGCTGCCCATTACATGCCCTGGAAGTGTTCCAGTGGGGTAGAGTTGGGTGTTTATGGGTTTCATGGGTATCCAGGCTTTTCACTTACAGGGAGGGTTTGGTTAATTTGGGTCCCATAACATTTTATCTGAGGCATGATGGATGCCCTGGTTATTCCATGCATCCTATAGTTGGCCATCAGAGTGGTGTGGTCTCTTTTCTCATAATTACTATTATACACGATATATATATAGTGCCAACAGTTTGCGCGGCGCTTTACAATATAAGGAAGACATCACAATACAAGACAAGATGGTAGAGGGCCCTTCCCCTGAGGGCTTACAATCTAACATACTGCACCCGTCTGGTTGCTCTTGGGAGCAAGGCACTCTGAGGAATGGTATTCTGCAATTCTTCCCTTAACAGTCTCTTGCTCTCTGTACAGTACGTTCCTTTGGAACAGAAGACCGTCCGACTGACAGGCCAGCACCCCCTCGCGAAGAGGTATACGAGTATATCATCTTCAGGGGCAGTGACATTAAAGATATTACTGTGTGTGAGCCACCCAAGGCCCAGCATGCCTTGCCCCAGGATCCAGCCATTGTCCAGGTATGTAAACTAAGGATATTACATTGAACGGTTTCCTAAATTGCGTGCAAATTTGTGGGTCATCTATTGGTTTTAAAGCAACCGTGTACTTTGTACCTGACAAAATACTAATGATTTAATAGGAAGTATTATAGGCAAGATGTGCTTTCCTTCCCTGTGGCAGAGCACCCTCAAAATCCAGGTTCAAGCTTGAACTTCCTGAATGCTGCACTTGGCTTGGCAAGCTCCTTCCTGTTGCCTGCGTTAGTGCATAGGCCTATTGACTTGGTTATCAGGTTCCTATCGCTTCCTCAGTCCTCTTCCAGGACAGCTACGCGAGACTTGATTGGCTCCAAAATCCATGTTCACGCTTGAACTTCCTGAATGCTGCACATGGCTTGGCAAGCTCCTCCCTGTTGCCTGCGTTAACCAAGTCAATAGGCCTATGCACTAACGCAGGCAACAGGGAGGAGCTTGCCAAGCCATGTGCAGCATCCTCTTCCAGGACAGCTACGCGAGACTTGATTGGCTCCAAAATCCATGTTCACGCTTGAACTTCCTGAATGCTGCACATGGCTTGGCAAGCTCCTCCCTGTTGCCTGCGTTAACCAAGTCAATAGGCTTATGCACTAACGCAGGCAACAGGGAGGAGCTTGCCAAGCCATGTGCAGCATTCAGGAAGTTCAAGCGTGAACATGGATTTTGGAGCCAATCAAGTCTCGCGTAGCTGTCCTGGAAGAGGACTGAGGAAGCGATAGGAACCTGATAACCAAGTCAATAGGCCTATGCACTAACGCAGGCAACAGGAAGGAGCTTGCCAAGCCAAGTGCAGCATTCAGGAAGTTCAAGCTTGAACCTGGATTTTGAGGGTGCTCTGCCACAGGGAAGGAAAGCACATCTTGCCTATAATACTTCCTATTAAATCATTAGTATTTTGTCAGGTACAAAGTACACGGTTGCTTTAAAACCAATAGATGACCCACAAATTTGCACGCAATTTAGGAAACCGTTCAATGTAATATCCTTAGTTTACATACCTGGACAATGGCTGGATCCTGGGGCAAGGCATGCTGGGCCTTGGGTGGCTCACACACAGTAATATCTTTAATGTCACTGCCCCTGAAGATGATATACTCGTATACCTCTTCGCGAGGGGGTGCTGGCCTGTCAGTCGGACGGTCTTCTGTTCCAAAGGAACGTACTGTACAGAGAGCAAGAGACTGTTAAGGGAAGAATTGCAGAATACCATTCCTCAGAGTGCCTTGCTCCCAAGAGCAACCAGACGGGTGCAGTATGTTAGATTGTAAGCCCTCAGGGGAAGGGCCCTCTACCATCTTGTCTTGTATTGTGATGTCTTCCTTATATTGTAAAGCGCCGCGCAAACTGTTGGCACTATATATATATCGTGTATAATAGTAATTATGAGAAAAGAGACCACACCACTCTGATGGCCAACTATAGGATGCATGGAATAACCAGGGCATCCATCATGCCTCAGATAAAATGTTATGGGACCCAAATTAACCAAACCCTCCCTGTAAGTGAAAAGCCTGGATACCCATGAAACCCATAAACACCCAACTCTACCCCACTGGAACACTTCCAGGGCATGTAATGGGCAGCCAAGTTAACCAATGTCTAACTCCTGCATGATGACTGTAGCCTGACAAGGTCATTCAGAAACCCTAAAGACTTTGTGTTAAGTGCATAAGGTCCCAGTCGATTGGACTCTTCTCTGCCACCAGTCAAGATGGTCATTGGCCCTTAGTGCATAATCAGGCTATAAAGCGACCCATCAGCACCAGTCCCCCATAGTATAAAGAGATGGTATAAACATTAAAGAGGTTACCCACTTCTAGCAATTCACTCTGCAAAGAAAAGCCAGGGGCACTGAGGACCTCATACCCTCTAACATACACCCTAAATAACGTACTAGGTTTCCCACTTTCAGGCACCCATTGCCCCAATGAAGGTCCTGTGTTAATAGGCTTAAGTTGATGGCTTCAGTCTGAGATGCTTCAGAGAAGATTCCAAATTCATTGACATGTGCATCTGACCTCCTCCTGACCTCCATAAGCTGGTTTTGCATTCCAATAGAGAGATTTAAAAAAAATGTTTTTTAAACCAACAAAAGCCAATGAGAGGCCCTTAAGCACCCAACACATCCCTAATTAAAAAAGGCACCCAGTGACCAATCCAGGTTTGGACATCAAATCTTAAGTGGTTGCTAGATGGCTGAAGCTATAAACAAGATGGCTGTAATGGCTACCCATCCTGAGGAGAAAGGCTCAAGGTTCATCTCCATCTAACAGACATCTAGATGCATACCTGGCATCCTGCAGATGACCTCAAGGGCTCCCATAGCTTGGCCAGGGCTCAGCGGCCTCCACCAAGCAGGTGGTGCCATTGAGCTCCATCCCACCCAGCAGGTAATGCTTTTGGCAGCTCTTCCTCACCCAGCAGGTAGGGTTTTGGTAGCTGCACCTCACTCAGCAGGTAGGGTTTTTGTAGCTGCACTTCACTCAGCTGGTAGGGTTTTTGTAGCTGCACCTCACTCAGCAGGTAGGGTTTTTGGGAGCTTCAACCTACATAGCAGGTAGCATTTTTGGGGTTGCCATCCAACAGGTAGTGTTTTGGGGGATCCCATCCCATACAGAGTTTATGAGAGCTACATCCGAAACAGCTGAGTGTTTTGGGGAGCTCCAACCCAGCAGGTAGTACTT